CTGATTAATTACGCGAAATCTTTGAGAAAAATATTTCTATTAAGCCTCTGCAACAAACGAAAGGGTGGCAGTGTAAAACTTTTTGACATTATTTAAAAATGGCAGGTATGAATGTTGGATCCGTCCGTTCACCATAAAGGAAATCGCAGAAATTTACTTATCATCTAATAAAGCTGTGTGTTACCGCGAAATTTTTCCAATCTGCATTATAACTCGGCTTCAATTGTTATGTCCTATTCATTGAATTTATAATTGAATATCAAAGAAAGATAACTCTGAATTAGCAAACGCCTCGAAAGTAACTAATCTGTTTACATAAAATTTCCGTTTCCTAGCAACGTCACCACCACCGTTTAGACCAAGAATGGCATTACTTGCTATTACCCAATGTTGTGCTGCTTAAAATTACATTAAATTTACGGCATAAATGTTTTAAAATCAGCAAATTCTTATTTAATATTGCAAACGTCATGTTTGTATATACTAGTAAGGGTTTTTGCATTGCTTTTTAACTTATATAACCAAAGTCATACACTATTTACTAAGAAGTTTATTTACAACGGAGCAGTCGAGGGCAAATAAATTAAATTAATTAATTCGGATGCTTTCTCCTAATGTGCTAAATTTAAAACAAAATNGGGTGATCCGTTGGATTACGAGCTGTGTAGAAAGCCAACGCCGTTTCGCCAGGCACAACTTTAATTTCATATTGTTGTGGCTTGAAATTCCAGCGCATCGACGCTGCTATATCTGCATTGAAACGTATTTTTAGTATACGATCTTCAATTTTTTGCATTGTCTCTACTTTATCCGCATCGTGCCCCTGTGTTGTTGTGCCGCCGTAACTGTAGGCCTGTGGTTAGGTAAGATAAATTTGGTTGTTTTAGGAGCTGCGATATTGGCACTCACCTGACAGAACATGCGATAAAGAGGCACTGCAGCATAGCTAGCACCTGCAGCAAATATGCCACCAGCGGTCAAGTAGTAAAGAGTAGACTTCAGTCGTTGTTTCCGCGCAGATTCACCGGCATCTGCACCACCTTTTCCGCTTGTTGAATGGTAACGAAAACGGGACAGGCGCATCCATTGCACTCTTGACTTGTGAAGGAAGCGTAGCATTTCCGGTATAAATCGAAACAATTTAAGTTATTGATGTTTATGACAATAATTATTATTTTTCACCATTTGTGGTAGTCTCGTAATTTTTGCAATTTCTTTTTTTTATTTTTAATTAAACAGCTGATTCTGTATAATTTAGTACCACTGTAGCATTTGACTTCAACACGTCAGTGGCACCAAAACTATCGGTGTATCGGTTTGGGACCTAAATGCACTACCGGAACCGGGTAAGGACCAAAAAATCGGTTAGTATAAAAGTTTGACAGCCACTACTGGAGGCAGCCTGACAGACCTATCATCAATTCCAACGGAGATCCCGACGCAGGCCTGCCAAATTTGCTCAAACCGTGCCATTTTTGGCCCTATTTTACATCAAATGGCACTTAATGTTTGAATTTCTTTATATCTTTCTATTTGGCACTTTTTTATCCTCAATATGGCACCTCATAGCTAAGGGTAGTAGGCAGCCCTGTCCCGATGATGTCACGCTATCATGAATTCCGTCGTGATAACGAAATTCTCCCGCAAATTCGAAATTTGTGAGAATGGTATCACTGATTTCGATTTGATTTATTTTATTTTAATTTGGAATTATTAAACAATACATCAAAACAAATAAAAACCCAGGGCAGCCCTAACTACGAACGCGCCGGAATTGCTGATAGCATTTCTCCTGAATTCGGGACGTGAGATTTTTTCACGACGGGAGTTCACCCGGAATCTGTGATAGGCCTGTGAAACTTGCCTCAGTTTGCAAGCCACTGTATTGACACCAAACACATGTCTTTGGCGGACTTTCCTCCATTGTCATTCGTACCCGCTTGCCAACAACAAATCGTTTGTGGTCCGATTTGTTTATGATAAGAAACGTCATATTTTTCTTTTGTTTGTGTGTATGTATGCTGTTTCTGTTTCTTTTGCTGGAACGAGATTTATGCTGCTGTCGTCGAGTAATTAAAACAAGCTGATTAAAATAGATTTTAAACGAAAACTCGCGTTTCTCGTCTCAGAACGTTCGGTACCGTGGTGAGTGAACATACATATGGAATAAAGTGCTGGCAGTTTTGGAAATTCATACAAAAATCGCAGCAGTAAAACAACTTTGCCATTAACCTCAAGATGCGCATATTCGCCATTTGTACGCTTCTTTTTGCTCTGAGCGCCTATTACTGTAGCGCTGTTGCGCCACCGGAAACCGCCAAGTCGTCGTCGCCGCAGTCTGTACCGAGTCTCGATGACCTGTACGCCTTGCTACCGCGCGATTTGGGCGATGAGCCACCCACCGTGGTGGTAGCGCTTCTGGTACGCAACAAGGCACACATCCTACCATTGTTCCTCACATATTTGGAGCGCCTCAGCTACCCAAAACAGCAAATGGCACTGTGGTAAGTATCACCGGCAAATTTTTAGACTGTATATGTATTGGTTATCGCATTTCCCAGTTTCGGATTGATAAGTGGCATTTATCTGTACATATTTTCCATTCATAGGATACGTTCTGATCATAATAACGACGCAAGCACGGAACTACTGCAGCTGTGGCTTAATCACACCGCTGACTCGTATCACAGTGTCGATTTCGAGCATGACGATAGTGTGCAACGTCATCAAAATGAAAGTACACCGAACGATTGGCCTGCTGAACGCTTTCATCATCTCATACACTTGAAAGAATTAGCGCTGACATATGCAAAGCAGATTTGGGCAGACTACATATTTGTAATTATGGATACATACACAATTTTTCTCATACAAGTAAAATAATACTTTAAATTCCCCACGCAGTTCCTGGATGCTGATATATTACTCACGCACGCAGACTCGTTGACCCATTTGACTAGTCTACGTCTGCCGATTGTAGCACCCATGCTACTCTCTGAAGGTCTTTATTCCAATTTTTGGTGTGGCATGACATCCGATTATTATTACCAACGCACCGACGAATATAAGGAAATCTACAATGTGAACAAGGAAGGCGTTTTCCCTGTGCCAATGGTTCATAGCGCTGTACTGATAAGAATGAACTATCAGGGCGCGCGTTATCTGACATTCGATCGCGAGCGTCTCATAGAACAACAACAAAATGAGGTCGATTGGGCTGAGCGCGAAGGAGTGACACCGTGTCGGCCATACGATGGGCCTATGGATGATATTATTGTCTTTGCAACATCGGCAAATTGTTCACGTATTCCATTGTTCGTAAGCAATAAGCTGCCGCATGGCTATCTAATGCAGCCACTGGAAGTTATCGATGGCCTGGATGTAGATATGCAGCAGCTGGTGAACATACGTGCAAATATTGTGCATGATCAAGACGAAGTAGCGCAAGTGCCCGATTACTTTAAGGACTATATCAGTTATCCAAATAAGTAAGTAAATAACAGATATACGAAAAATTCGAGAAGTTTTAAAATAATCTGAATATTTTTCTTGTTTTAGAACCAAACTTACGTTGGACCACATTTATATGATTAATCTAGAGCGACGTCCAGAACGACGCGCCAAAATGGAGAACCTTTTCCGTGAAATAGGTCTCGATGTTGAATATTTTCCCGCCGTCGACGGAAAGTATGTATAGAAATATAGTATAAAATGCCGTTCCGAATTTATTTACCTCGTATCTATTTCAGGAATTTGACCACTGAGCTATTACAAGACATGGGTATTAAGTTCTTACCCGGCTATGAAGATCCCTACCACCACCGCCAAATGACTATGGGCGAAATAGGTTGCTTTCTGAGTCACTATCGTATTTGGGAAAAGGTAGTTGAGCGTGAACAAAATGAAGTACTAGTACTAGAGGATGATGTGCGTTTCCAGCCATACTTCAAGGATAGCGCCATACGTGTGCTCTCGCAAATACGCAACGTGGTTGAATATGATTTGCTGTAAGCTAAAAAAAAATTTTTAATCACAAAAACCATAACTCTTTACAAAATTGTCTATTTCTATTCAGTTACTTTGGACGCAAGCGGTTGAAGGAGGAAAAGGAGCCATGGGTACAAGGTGCAGAAAACGTTGTACATGCTGGCTATTCCTACTGGACACTGGGCTACGTTATAACACTACAAGGTGCTCGCAAATTACTTGCCGCTAAACCGTTAGAAAAGCTACTACCTGTAGATGAGTTCCTGCCCATTATGTTCAACCGTCATCCGAATAAAACTTGGAGCTCTAATTTTCCCAAACGCGATTTGCTCGCTTTCAGTGCTGCTCCTTTAATACTTTTCCCCACGCATTATACCGGTGAAACTGGATATATTTCAGACACAGAAGACTCTGAGGTGACCCCAGAAACATTGAACACTGATTCTAATGTACAATTGAAGAGCGATCGTGAATTAGAATTTCCGCCAGCACTTGAAACGGAGGCAGCTCCAAAACCATTCGAAGATGAATTAATTGTGGATATAGATGGTGGCGATGGTCGTTCATTCAGTCAAGATCTGCATTTGTCCAAGAGCCATGAAGAGTTTTGAGTGTAAAATCGTTTAAGCGTTGCTCCCATACAAAATAAGTTTCTTTTCTATTATTACTGCCACTTTGATTGCCTTTTCTTTGTAGGAAATGTATATGAATCTTTGTACATATATGCTTTCATACGTATATAACAGTATTTGCGTATGAAAACATATTCTTTTTATGTGCCTTACTAGTTATAAAAGTAATGAAACTGTAATCCTTATAGATGTAGTTGAAATCTATATATTCCATTTATACTCTTAGATGTTAACTAACTCGAATTTTTATATTAATTTGCGTCACAAAAATACTCCATATACATATGTATTTTTAAATCTGTTTATACTAATGAGCAGCCGAAAAACTAAACAACTGAAAGATTTACTCGAATAGATAACCTATTAAGCTTGCGATCAAATTTGCTGTTGAAAGAAATACTAAGTAAAATCTGAAAAAAGTCGCAAAAAATGTTGCAGTTATAAATATGTATAATTTGCATATAAAGCAGGGAAAATTGTTTAACAATTCGAAAACGGGTTAATAGCGATTATGTTGCGCCTGTGTCGTATAGTTTCAAAACGAGTTTTTCAACTGACTTGCTAAGAATAAATGCGCATGTTTTTGTTGGAAAGAATGTGTTAAAATTTATTCAGTCATTAAAAACTAATATTTTTGTACAATAAGATTCGATGTAATGCATTAATTAACTAAAAAATAATTTAAAATTGATTCCTTATAAAAATTATAGTTAATGTATAAATGCCTATCATTTTCTGTTCAATCGCCAAAGTCATTTTATGCCAAAAAGTGTATGCACAAATATCTAATAATAATAATAAAATAAATACATACAGATAAAGACATTTTTAAAAAGATTTTCAAAAGCAGATAGGATATTATACTGGCCATTTGCATGCAATTGAATCGTTCTCACGACAGTTGGCATTAGACTTTTGAAACTCCCATAACTCCCTTACAAAAGGTTGCACTCACACACGCACCCACACACAGTGCCCTGCTAAGTGAGCCGACTTCGTCAAGAGGGAGCAAGAAAACTGTTTTCTGAGCAAACCTTATATTATTGAATCATGAGTCGGGTCTAGGTAACCGGAACGACCCAGATTTATATCTGGCCATGCACTGTCACTCCAGCAACACTCCCCGAAAACTCCCCTCAGTAGTTTCAGCGCTATCTGTATACCACTTAAATGGGCCTGCCTGGACGTGTCTCTCCTTGATAGAGATACTGCAAGTCGCCTTGCTATGTGTTTCAAACTTAGAGTTTATTTTGAAAACTACCACTCTATGCATGTCGTCAATAGGGAGCAAATCTATGTAGAAGGAGCTTGAAGCCCAGTTTGTCCATGTTCTTCGACGACAAGACCTTACCTTTACCAAAACCTTATGTTAGAACCCATCTGGGATTTAGCTGATGTTCCCTCAAACTTTGGAATTCAATAACAAATTCTTTTAACAAGCAATATACAAGATAAACATCTCTCTCTCTGATCCAGTACTTCATGAACTTACAGGTTTTTACACGAGCTTGCAGCAAGTTACACGAAAAAGTACCCGTACGAAATCCTTTAAATGAGAGCGATTTTGGAGAGTTGTGTTGAGAATGAACCCGAACTTTTTCTTCTAGTAAAATCATGAAAAGTGTCAAGCAATCAGCTGTTACACAAAAGTAAACTAAAATTGTACGTTGTCCAGTTGATAGCGAAAAATATTAAAATATTACCATTTCGTATGCGATTTAATGTTACTGGCTAGCAATCAACGTTTAATTTATTGCCAAATATAATTTTTTGGTTCATAAGAAAGGTTTTGTATTGAAAATGTTCTTTTAAAGTTTATCCTTGAATATTCCTCGTAAGTGTCGTATTGTTGTATGTCGTAAACTTTAAACGCCTAAAAAATATATTAGGGGGTTCGCAAAGTACCATCAAAGTCATATTATGAATTGTTGCAGTGTTAAAAAATAGTTGGTTGTCGTTTCAAGTTCTCTAAACATTTATTTAAGCTTTTAAAGTTTACGACATACAACAATACGACACTTACGACACCGTTGTGAGTCCCTCAAATGTAATTAGTGTTTTACAG